TTTTTATTAGTTATTTTTAATTGACTTACAACACTTACTGCAAACTTGATTGAAAAGTAATCAATTTTTAATTAATATATGATATATCTTTTGTTTATCGGAAGACATTCTTTTTATGCCCGGAATGTAACATTTAGTTCTCCGGGGGTGAATATTGATTTACACTCATTTGTTTATGTTTTTTTAACTATTTCCATCTAAATGAAATATTTCAAAATTTCAAGATTTTTTGTCTCAAGTTTTGAGGCAAGTATTTTTTTCAAGACTGAAATTATTCAATCAAATTCCATAAAAGCACAAAAAGCTTATTTAATATCTCAAATCTTATAATTTATTGATTGTGAATAAATTGTAATAATCGATATATGATATTAATACCACCTTGGATATTTATAACACGGATGAACTTGACCTTATAAATAATATGTATTACAAATTATATTTGTGCATATCAAAGGGTGATATAGTAATTGTAGCTTTATATTTTTTTATTGTTAAAACCTTCCAAAATACCATTACCAAATCATTTTTTTTTCCCCTTTAATAAATATCTCTCAAAACAATTGTGTGTTAATTAAAAATATATATTTAATTTATATGATTACTACAATTTTGCACATTTAAATTAAAAGTTACTCATAGTCAGATATTTATACTATTTTTTTTTTTCAAAAAAAAAAAGGTAAAAGAAAAGAATTGTCTTTTATTATCTAATCTGCTAACCCAAAATGACATCCTATAATGAATCACACATTGTAATTGAATTACTATAAGTTTATTATAAATATATAATAATTTGAAACTTAGTGCTAAAAGTATTTTGTTGTTAGTTTTTACACTTTGATTACTATTGTGCATTCAAAATTACGTTTAAAAATTGAGACAAACATTAATTTGAATAAAGAATAAATAATACTATTTTATATAACACATGCAATATATACAGCCTGGACTATTTACGAAAATAGACTTTGTTTTTTTGGTTCTCGGTGTTATTTCATGTGGTGGGCCCATTTTGTTTTTGTTGATTTTGGGCTGTGTGAGCAGAACCTCCACGATTAAAATAAAAAACATGAATTTTCTTATTTATATTTAAGTTAATTAGAAATTTTTATTTAAAAGCCAAATTTACTTCAACTCATGTAATCAATTAGCCAATATTATTATAAGCTCCAACTTATATTAATTTTAAGCAATAGTATTTAATTCTTAATTATGGCTTTCAAATTTAATTTTTTTTAAAAAAAAAAATAGGAACAAAATAAAATTAAAAAATAAAGAAAGAAAAAAAAAAACCCATTTAAATTTAGAGCAGACGTCACGGAATGACGGATGAAATGGAAATTAGAAAAGTGCTTTTTATAATATAAGAAAAAAGTAATAATTATTTATTTCATAAAATATGAAAACTGTGTTTGCTTTCCTTTTAAGCCAACTAATTTAAAAGCCATGTAACGTCTGAATTCTATTCTCTCGTTCCCAAAATCCACATTACCTCCTCTTTTCCCATCTTTTTCTCCACACGTTCTCCCTCTCACTAATCACTTCCTCAACAAATCAATTCTCTCTCTCCCCCTCTCTCTCTCTCTAACAAACCAGAGAGTTTCAAGATCTGAAGAACACGTATTCTTTTCGATCGTAAAGAGCAGAAGAGAGATGTGTTGTGGAAGTAGGATGTGCATGCTGTGCACGTGCGTGATACTGGTAGTCATCTTGATCGGGTTTTTGTTTGGATTTGGGGTTTTCAAGAATGGATTTCACAAGCTCAAGGAAACTATTCACGACTGCGACGCAAGCATTCCTGGGAATCTTTGTGGGAGGCCCTTTTTGGGGTATGCGCCGCCTCCCTCACCGTTCTAGGGATTTCATCTATTAGTTTTATTTTTCCCTTACCTGGTGTTTGTGTTTAGAATTTTCTGGGGATTATGTTGGATTTATGATATATACATATATTTTTTTCAAAT